TATGGCAAAGAGTTTTAAAAATAAGTATATTCTGGTATTTAAAAAATGCACATGTAACTCAATGTAAGTAACCTACTTTCAATATACAAAACACATTTCCAGCATTACCATAAAATAAAGTAATTTCTCATTAATACATCTGCCTTTGTTTTTTGTTTAGACAATGAGAAAAAGGAGGATGATCTAAATTTAATTCTTTCTGGAGTCAGAAAAAATATAAGAATTAAGTTTAATAGTCATATACAAGGCTCACTTAATCCCAATAAAGTCTGGGTATATGAGTTTGTAACTAATTACATAAAAACTGATGTCACCCACCTTAGTTACATACAGAAAGAAAGGAATAGAAAATAAACTAAACAGTTCATTTATTGACGGAAAGAAATTAGATTTTTGAGGTGACTTTATAGATTATACATTATAATGATTTTAAAGAAGAAAACCTTCATTTTAGAACTGAACTAAACTGTATTATAGCCTGAATGTATAGTAAATGCCTCATATGTAATAATAAAAAATACAGTTAGATGAACTCTAATTTACAATACTATATAATGTGTGAGGAGGCTGACTGTATCAGTCAGGGTCCAATTAGGAGACAGAACCACACCAGTAATTTGAAATTTGAAAAGAACAAGTAATGGTAAGTGGTAGAGAGGCTGTAAAGAAAATGGAACCTTTGTTCATTACTCGTGGGAATGTAAAGTAGTATAGCCACTAGGGAAGAACATATGGAAGTTACTCAAAAAAATTAAGAATAGAAATACCATAGGACCAGCTGAGCAACCACTCTTCTGGAAATGTGAAAACATTTATTTGTAAAGATACATGCACCCCTATGTTTACTGTGGCATTATGTATAGAGGACGAGATATGGAAACATAAGTGCCCTTTGATAGATGATTGGATACAGATGTGGTACATACATACAGTGGAATACTACTCAGTCATAAGAGAAGATGAAGTACTGCAGTTGTGATGACATGGGTGGACCTTGAGAATATCGTGCTAAGTGAAATAAATCAGAAAAAGTCAAGAACCATATGATTTCACTCGTGTGGGAGATATGAATGAACAGACAGACAAAAACTCACAGACACAGACAATAGTATGGTGGTTACCAGGGGGAAGGGGGTGGGAAGTCAAATGTTATATGGTGACAGAAGGCAATTTGAGTTTGGGTGATAAACATACAATGTAATATACAGATGCTGTGTTATAAAACTATGTATTCGAAGTCTATATAATTTCACTAATGAATTTCACCCCAATAAGTTTAATTTAAAGAATTATTAACCAGTAAAAAGTACTTATTAACTTCTAAAATAGGTAAACAGGGAGTAGTTCAGAAGCAGCAACGGCAGAACACAGCCATTGCCTATAGAGCTGAGGGCAAGGGAACCAGGCAGGGCCTCCCACTGCTAGTCTACAAGTCAGGTCTCTTTGGAGAGGTTGCAGCTACCACAGGAACTCTGCTGGTGACCCAGTGAGCAGGCCCTGGAGGGTGAGGGCTGCAGGTGGTCCCCGGATCTTGTCCCTGGAGGACACAGGACCCTATCAGAAGGTTTAGGGTAGAGTTCCACCATGCTGTAAATGCTACCAGAGTCCCCAAATAACCAGTCTGTTAAATGATGCATGGGAAACAACACTCTAGAAAATAGAAGCTAATCCTCTCATCCTGCTGTTCTGGCTTATAGTATCCCTAAAACTGGCAAAGCCCCTCAAATTGGCAAAGTCCCTAAAATTGACAAAGCCTAACATCTATCAGCTGGCACAGGAGAAACATCTATAGGGTGCACCTCTGGCAACACAAGAAAGAGCAAAGAAGCACTTGGAGAAGAAAGACAATAAAATGAATAACTGGCCTGCTTTTACTTCATCCTTGGTTATGGAAACCAATAATGATAAACCTGTGTAAGGTCACATGTTTATGCTTACAGTCACGAATAATAGTTTCTTGGTTCTTTTTATAAATGTGGTTCCCTAGTATATCATTCTGACTTCAAATTATTTGCCAATTATTTAACAGCTTACTGTTTTATTGAGGCATAGATAAATTATATAAACTTTAAGTATACAACTTAAAAAATTTTTTACTAATATATATACACTCATGTACCTACCACCTAAGACAAGATAAAACCTGTATCAGCATCTTGGAAGGCTCATTCTTGCTTTTGCAAAGTGGTAATCATTTATATTTTAAATATTCCCTTAAAAATCTTTACTCATTATCTTACATGTTTGATATAACTAATAGAAAGTTTAAAGGCAAATAATGGAATTTTGGAACAGAAACTAAGTGTGCAAAAAGCTACTTTTAATTAGAGACTTATTTAATTTAATCATTCTACATTTCTTTCTAAAGTTGTCAAAGTACTCTATAGAAATTGTTATTCTACTCTTCTCTTTGTATAAGTTGGTAATAATCAGCAATTTCTTTCTCATTATTTCAAAGAAAAGGGAATAAAATATAAGTAACACACAACCTCAAACATCCCTCTGCTCTTTTGCACAGAAATAGAGATGAAATTCAAGTTTTTGAGAATAAATTCTCCACTAATACCAAACTGTTCTCTTAAAGTGAAAAAATTCTCCATGTACATGAGTCAAATAAGTAACAATAAGAAATACCTAGCAATAATTTGGGTTACTAAAGAAGTGACTTAAATGCATGTAGAAAACATCATTTTGAGTATATATTATTTCTTCAAAACTCATAACATTTAACATAAAAATGTACAACATATTATTATATAATTTTACTGCAAATAATAAAAGAAAAGTAACATGTTAAATAGGAAAAACAGCTATTTTTTATACAATATTTTAAGACATTTGAGTTTTAGAGTTGTTCAAAATTTCAGTTGAATATATTTAACCAGTTAACCACTCTGAACTTAGTAACCCAAGAGGCTCAAGAAATTTGATTTTGTAACTTTTTCTTATCCCTGTGTATTATAAGATTTGTAAATAGCTATTTTAATATTTCATTTTATCATATAGAATTTAAAAATTATCACTTTGACGTTGGACACATTCAACTATATATTTTATTTTCCTACTAGATTTCCATCACAAGTCAAAAGTCTTTGAACTTGTGATTAAGCTTCATAGCCTGAAGGTGGTGAGTGTTTTGCAGGAGGTTTTATTTCAATGCCTGCCTCCACTGGACTCATTTCATTTTTTTTCTAATGGGAAGCATACTTTAAACAGCCTTAATTTCATGTTTCTCATACATTATTTTATTTTATTGCTCTTCCCTGAGAGCATTTATAATCAACATGTTTTTTTAAGTTTTATATTTGGTAATATTTTGTTGGTTCTTTGTTTCCTGTTATAATGGGCTTTCAAAAATTAAGCGAATTTGCAGATTTCCCAAACAAACACATCCATAAAGGACAGTGTGATGTTAGAAGGTTCCTGGAATTAAGTAGTACAATGTAAATGCTTTCTGCATTACCCATTTGCTGCCTAGGGAATGAGGAAGATTGCCAATGGGTTCATTTTAGGGAGAAAATTACTATCTTAAAATAAAATACAAAATTTACTACATGAACCGTATTTTAGTCTTAATCACATTCGATTTGGGAGTATCCTCTTGCATTTAAATATAAGGAAATGATGTCAGGAGCTGACCTATTATTTTCAAAGACAAAAATGATCACACACGAAACAAATTACCTTTCCTAGTTTATATGTTCACCTCAAAGTATTTTAATGAATTAACACTCTTCATAGCTTCATGAAATATATGTTTAAAGGCTTTAGCAAAAGTAATGCTGTATTTACTGTTATTTTTTAACTTTATTTTTATTTTTTACACTATTACAGATGTTCCCATCCCCCCCCTTTGCCCTCCTCAACCCAGCCCTCACCCCTTCTCTCCTCAGGCCAGCACCTCACTGCTGTGTGTGTCTGTGGGTTATGCATATATGCTCTTTGGCTAATCCCTTCGCCTTTAATGGCCTTAAGCGAACGTCCATGGATACTACTCCTATTTCCTTCATCCTGGCTTAGGAAGGATATTTGGTCACAAATACTCCTACACACACTGCTGTTATTCACCCTGAACTCAGGTCTCTTCTTTCCATCTCCCATCTATTTTTTATTATTATTCCAGGTTTCTTCCTCTTCCTTCCTTCCTCCCCACCCACTCAAGCCAACCACCCACTGAAATCCTGAGTTCTGCTCTTCAGTAGTTTTTCAAAGTGAGCACTTTCCCCCATTTCCCTTCAGACATACTTTTACATGCCTCATTCTTCCTTGGAGACCACGAGCTCACCTCAGCTCTGCAATCATTCTCCGACCTCTACTTATCCCCACAGAGGTTTAGACCATTTCCTGCACTTCCATTTCCCTTTCCATAACGAAATATTTCTTTGGAGGGGGCAGCCAAAAATCCCAAAAACTAAATTCCAAGAACCAGGGCAGTAATGGCTTTGAATTAGATGAGTAATTTTGCAAAGCTATGGTAATACTAAAGTGCACTCTGGTTAATGCCTAGCTGATTGCATTTTCATTTGTAAGGAGGAGGTGCTGCCAAGCGCTTCAACCACGCTTATGTGTAACAGCACTCGTTACCTAGGATTCCGTGCTATTTCAGAGCTCTTCTGAATAACCTTGGATCTTTGGGATGTGAAGTGTGATATTGTGCACAAGTGTCCGCAGACTCCAGAAAGCACGTCATAATAAAAACAATGTAAGGCAATATATAAAAAGTAATGTTATAGCCATCAATTTCTAAACAGTGTTTTTTTGTAATAAATTAGAGAAAAGAGGCATGAAAAATGCACCTCTAATAATTTCACATTTTCAAAAGTGGCTTCAGATTGTTTACATTTAATTTGCAAAGTAAAATTTCATTATTAATCTTTATGTGCTGTGAAATAAACTGTTATCCATTTACTCATTAGCTCAATAAATATTTACTGAACACCAACCATCTGCCAAACACAGTTCAACAAAAATGAACAATGAAGCCATGATTTGCAACTTACCATGGGCCATGCGATGAAACCAATAGTATCCAAAGTCAACTCCTAAGAAGGTTAAATACCAAGTCCATGGAGAATCCCAAGGCAAACTGATGAGCCTGTAGTTCTCCCAGATATAAATGTAACTGGTCAATTCAATGCTCCTGGAAAACAAACTGGAAAAATAAAACTCACAAGCAATGATGACACTCCATTTTAGAGGTAAAATTATGCTAAAAACAGTTTATGTAATATTTTAAAATTAATACATTTATATGTAAAAATAACATCCTTTCCCCTTCTTTATTTTTTCTTATTACTCACTCCATCACGCCTTTTAAGAGGCTCAGTTTTCTTAGTATCCACACCACTCACCTGATGTTTCCTTTTGTTTCATAGTTACCACGAATGGCACCCATTTGCATTCTCAATTTCATGGAATTTAGGAAGCCATTCCATTCTTATGTCTCCCAAAATACTTTTCATGGAACCCATAAACATAAACATTATGAAACTTTTAGTTACTTTCTGTACTTGTCAGCTCTAAATTTTAATGAACACAAGGTTGCTTTTTAAAGAAAATGTAGAAGGTAAAAATTATAAATGGCAGTTTAAAAAGAGGACTGCAGATTGCCTACTGCATTAAAATATGTTAATCCCATAACATTGCCTTTAGCTTAAAGCTGCTTCTGGCTCTCTCTCTCTCTCTCTCTCTCTCTCTCTCTCTCTCTCTCCTCTCTCTCTCCCCCCTCCTTCCTCTCTTACACACACACACACTCAAACACACACACATTCCTAATGATTTTTTTCCTAATGATTTTTAATGTTACTCTTAATATTAAAAATTGGATATTCATAGCATTTTAATATTTCTTACTACTTTTAAGATATAAGGTAATGATATTTCCCTTAGAAATAAAGTATATGGACCTAGTTAAAATAAACAATTGTTTTTAAAATTCAGAGAACAGAATATGCCTTGCAACCTATTCTACCAAGCTGTAACTTGTAAATTCCTACTTTAAGAACTTTCAAAAAGTATGCAAAATATACGTCAACTTTATATAGAGTGGTGATTTTCTCTTTAACTTTTTTGTGATTAAATTTAAGATCAGACTCAAGATAGTCATTCCTTTTATCATTTTATAAATTTGATTGAATTAAATATTTTCTTTGATATTTATCATTAATATGTCAAATGAATTGATAGTTCTACCTAACAAAGTTTATTTATAAACCACAAACAAATGAGGTAATTCTTAAATATTCTAATTTTAAACAGAAGTTGAAGAACCAGCTTCAATTAGTATATTGTTAAAATTCAGCATTTTAATAGTATTTCCCTTTACATGGTCAGCTTCTGTGGAGACCAGGCCTTCAATTTTAATGTACTTTTGATTTAATTATGATATGACTTTAATTGATTTAGTAGCTTACAAATTTTGAATGCTTCTATTATTTAATCTATAAAACAGTAGGCCACTTTACAATAGCATGTTATTTACAACAGTTATTTATTAGATAAATAACTAATAGAAATGCCAAGTAACTATACTTTTGAAAAGGACTGCATATCATTAGATCTTTCAACCCAATTTTCAATTCGAGATTGTCTTTGATCTGTAAAATGGCACTTATACCCAGAGGGCAAGAAGGGACCTAAGAAAGACACTGATCACTTCAGATTGGTGGGTGGCAAGTTTAATAAACAAGAAAACTTAAACACAAAGCTTGTCTGAGGCAACTGTAAGATGAGAAAACCTCTGAGCCAGCCTGCCAGAATCTTAAAAGTGTAGGCAGGCAGAGCTTGGAGATATTGAGGGTTTGGTCCCAGGCCACCGCAATAAAGCGAGTCATAACCTTTTTGTTGATGGAGGGTCTTGCCTTCAATTTGTAAAATTACGCAACACCTGTGAAACGCAGTAAAGTGAATTGCAAAAAAATGAGGTATGTCTGTGTAGAGGCCTTAACTAGGTTCAGTCACGTATTGAATCCAGATGGTCTTAGCAACACCTTATTCCCTCAAGGCTCTATCCTGAAACAGCTGCTGCTGGAAGAGGAGGCAGAAAGTACTACCCAAGGGCAGGAGATGGGTGAGAAGCCCCTAATTGCCCAGGCCCGGCTCATGGGCCAACCGGCATTCCTCTTGATGACCTTCAACAATTATATGGCTGGAAGGAGCATTTTCGTCCCCGAGTGTGAGTCCTTGACTCAAAAGAGCTGCCTGCCCAGAACTCCTGCCACAACTCTGGCGGTGTTCTGGATACTCCACAATCCCCCGTCAGAGTGGCCCAAGCCTGCTCGCGGGACCTTTTGGGGCCTTGTCCCTGGTCTTCCAATTTGTCATATAGGTTACTTATCAAAGTAGGGGGTAGACCACATTTTATTGTAAAGCATGTTGGCTTGGTTGGTAACTTGTATTTATTTACACAAGGGCTTCTCAAGTGTTATTATTGACACTTGAACAAGATAATTCTTTTTTTGCCAAGGTCTGTTCTAAGTAAACAAATTACAAGATCTTAAAATTATTTCCTATCACCCATTAGTAGATGGTTAACCATACTTTTAGGTAAAACTGATAAATAATATCGATTTTATATGGTTAAGCCCAATAATTTCTCTAAAGCAAGGATTCTTGACACTATTGCCATTTGAGCCCAATAATTCTTTGTCCTGAAGGCTTGTCCTGGGATTTGTAGAATATGTGGCAGCATCTCTGACCTCCGTTTGCTAGATGCCAGTGGCACAACCCACTAACCAAGTTGTGACAACAAAATAGCAACATCTGCTGGGGACAAAAATTGCCCAAGTTGATAACCCTAAAAAATGACAGATCCAGAAGGAAAAATTCAAACTGAGAATATGCAACAGAAAGTTGGAATAATCTACAGTGTTTTACATAAGCTTTAGTACGTACACCTTGCCAAAACCGATCCATTCATGGATTCATTCAGTTATTCAATAAATTCATAGTAAGAGACTACTGGACAGTACAGGGAGGGCACATAGGTGAACAGGGCAAACATAATCATCAGCCATATCAAGGTCTCATCAATTCAGAATCTTTTAAAAAAGTTGTTATCTCTCTCGTCTGTGCAGGTGACAATCAAAATAGATTTTAGGACACCAAGACTTCAATAAGAGGGAGAGGGTCCCTGGAAAAGTCCCATTTTTGTAAAACAAAGAGAACCTGCCTGTGCTTGAAATATTTTTTATTTCCTGTACAGGTGCCAGATCTTGAGCAGACACCCCATTTATTACTTTGTCAACTTACTTATTAGGGTTGACACAAATCGAGCTGAAATATGCCTGACATACTACAGTCAAGGGTTGTTGTGTTTTTTTTCACACTTTAGCAGAAAGCCAAACTTTCCTCCAGGCGAAGGGAAGAGGGGAGAAGCTGTGGGAGTTAAATTCCCTGCTTTCTATCAGCAAGATGAATATGATCTTCTTCCATCCTAAATGGGAAAAAACAGCCACGGACTGCCCACAACTAAAAACAATTCGGCAAAGGGATACAGCTGGGAAATGATTATCAAGCTCTGGAAAGCCCTTGATTGCAGGAAATAGCACCTACATTTTCAAAAATGTTCCCACCAGACCTTGAATCATAAACCAAAGCGCCTTCCTCTTTCTTTTCCAAATTCCTTCGTCTTCTCCCAGCCCCCACCCCATCCCCAAGTCCATGAGTCTGCACTCTGGAATTCAAACCTCAACTCTGTAAACCCCATCCTGTGGGAGGTGACATATGTAATGTGTATGTATATGGTGAGCTTATTGTATCACGTGGAGATGGAACATTGGGTAGTACAGGGGCTTAGAATAACCAAATACTAGGTCTCTTTAACTCACTAAGTTTGAAATGCAAGACCAAAAAGTGATCTAAATCTAAGGAGACATTAGGAGCCTCAAATAAACAACCTGTATATGTGGAGGCTCTCCTCTCACCGTCTGTTTTGCTTTGTAAATTCTCTCCAAATAGCTATTTTCTCTTGGGTCTGAGGTCTGTCTTCTGGAAAACAAAAGGGAGCTATTTTTTTATGTGCTTATATAACATTTTCTCTCAACACTAGAAATTTGTCCTGTCAATATTTAGTTGCTATAAAAAAATCTGGTGAGGCACTAAATGGCTATTCTGGTTATGATCCTGGATTTTTAAAAAAGAGAACATTGTTCTGATGTTCAGATTTTAAAATAATTAACAAATTGAATAAACATTATTTGGGGATTGAGATGACTAATTAGAGCTAATTAGTTATAACAGTCATCTCAGTTTGAATGTAAAATACAAAGGTAATGTTGGGCATGTCATTCACCCTTGCAGAGGTGAGAGCATTAGGCTGAATGGACCACAAAATTATCTAGATCTCAGATACTTCCATGCTTTAACCATTAATGAAACAAATGAAGTTTGGTGTAATGCTCTCATTGCAAACTGTTAAAATTTCAGAGCAACTTTCAGCTGTATGAGTTACGCAGCCAGGACTCCTGACATCTGCCACTTTATACCACTTCACAACTATCATTAGAGCTGGGTGTGACATCTGATTTGGCCAGATTGTCCAAAGTAGAAGGAAGTAAATTAGAGATTTTTATTTCTAATAATCTTGTTCCCTAAATCAGAAAATAAATCAATATTTAGATGAAATTAATCTAAATATCCTCCCAAGCTTCAGAAAGTTATAAATAAATAAATAAATTTGTATTCTATAGGTATTGGCTTTTCCAAGACATGTTGTTATTTATTCATTTCAAAATTTCTTAAGCCTGGCCCAAGAACTTGCTCTGGTTATCTGTAAAGCTTCTGCCACTTTTGCTCCATCTAGTGGAATATTAATTTTTGCTCAGTAGTAACAAAATACATAACGCAACCTCTACCTTCTGCAGACAGATAAAATTTGTACTACTGTTACTTACTGTGAAATAACATGTGTTTATGAAACAATTATTTAATTTAATTTAATTTTACTGAAACCACAAAATCATAGATTTTATAAACACAATATGGTAGATATAGGAGTAAATTTGCTGTATTTTTCACTGTGCAAGAAGTAAATGACTTCAAGTAATCCAATTACTCTATTGAACAAGCATATAAATCCAGACTAATAAACACAAGGAAGTTTGCATTCATTAAGGAAGGTTATTCAAACAGCAGCCTCTGAAGCTACACAATTACTAACAAAGTCTATTACTAAGGTTTCTAAGGTTAAATTTTAGAGGAAATGGAGTGTTCTGCCTACCAAATATAATTAACAAACCAGCCAGTTTTTAAATTTTATTTTCGTCACAGGGGATATTCTATTAATTATTTTCTGGGTTAATAAATGCATTACTAGTATTATTAAATATTTTTATTAACATTGCCCAAATGCATTTATCTCTTATTTTGGACAAAAAATAACTGTTTATAAAAGTCATCACCCAAAATGACAGGCATTCATCTGTAGAAGTCTGATGTTGCCAACAGCAGTATTGTCTTCGATTCTAAAATATAGTATAAAAACCCAGTGTACAATTTTGCCTCATCCAGCCCCACCCCAAGGAGCCTGAAGTATTTTAAAGAAGTTTAATTTCCTCCTCTTTAAATTTCTTTTTTGAAATATTCTTCTGAGGAATGGAAAATTCCAGGGCAGTCATGGCCGGTAAAACTGTGCATACGTACGGTTGAACATTGCAGAGTTAACTCCATGGTGAAATTTGGCAGTGACCCATTTGTATTAAAAGTGGAGTGTCCCCAACTTATTTGAAAATTTACCTACTTAAATTATCCCTCCAATCTTTTGCATTTTGATTTATAATCTGCTGTTTCAACAGAATAAATGAACCCATTAAAAACAAACATACTGTAGATATTTATATCGGGAATAAAATTTCTCTGGGGAGGATGCAATTTATGGAAGCAGAAACATTGGAAGGAAGTAACAAATTGAGGTCCCGGGTTTCTAATGAAGGATTGGAAATTGAGTTCTGCTTAAACAAGCAGGGAAAAAAATGTGATTATTTTTCACTCGTTAGCATTTAAGTCAGTAGCAGGATATTTCACAAGTTTTAGATAGGTTTAAAAAAAGAGATTTTGTAAAATGTTTGCTAAGTTTAATTTTTGTATCACCACCCATGCAAGTGATGGATAGAAAGGCAGGTTATCTGCATGCAATACACAGTATTTAACTATTGTAAGTAAAACTATCCATCTATAACTTCAAGACTAGATTCCGACAAGGAGGGTTGCCTACTAGATTCCAGAAGAGCAAAACAGATGCAGGCCTGCCCAGAATCTGGTACTTAGGACAGATGGACTTTTATTACACAGGATGGTCTGTTCAACAGGCTTGTAAACAAGATATAATCTTGTCTATGATTAATATTTTTCCCTTACATAAAGATTTGAAAGCTACAGCATGTAGTTTTCTCTGTCAACGTGCTACGTATGCTACTAATCTTCAGGATATTTCAAATTTTATGTAACAATAAAATCGAGATCCTCAAATAAACATTGTTTTTCCTCAAAGTCTGCCTACAGCATTTCCATTACATGAAGGGCAAAGTGGAAAAATATGTTCCTGGTTTCACTTTGATTCCCACAGCTTCTTTTGTCAGAGGCCACATGCCCATTTGGAATGATTATCCAAAATGTAACTCCTTTCAAACGAATTAACAAATGGTGTGCCGCCATTTCTCTTGCCACCGTGTAGTTTAAGGACGCGGCAAGCCACTGCTGCTCGTGTGGAAAATGAAATTAGTCCCTCGGAGAGGATACGATCAGTGCCGTGTTAATCTAACCTTCAGCTGTTAATGATTTGCACAAGGGTTCCCCTCGATGCTGTGGCTTCCACTGAAATATTGTTTTAAGAGTTTCTGTTAAATCCCCTTCTCGTCTTTTGTCGAGGGATGGAGTGGAGTGGATCCTGGGGATCAGCTTTCCTTCTCTGCTTACATCTGTTTTTTTAATAGCAACAAAATAAAACGAAGGTATTTAAAACATTTATTTTCAGGTCATTTGCTTTGCTGAGATTTTTTTAGAGAAATGGCTATAAAGGTGAAATCAATTGCAAAACTTAATTTATCCACATTTCACAATTTAGAATTGTTGTTCACACCTCCTGGAACATAAAAAAAAAAAAAAGAAGCCATTTGCTGTTCACATTCAAAATAGGACCATAGGAAAATGTGCTCCAAATTCAAGTTCACAACCTTTTACCTTTCCTTCAAAGGGCACCAGAGTTAACAGCTTGTGTTGTTAGCTTAAGGAGTGTTATGAATAGTGGAATGTGAAGGGAAAGAATTGCATCTTTCTCTCCCTCCTTCTCCCTAGCTTCCTGATGCTTTAGGGGTTTGTTTTTAGCAAAACTAAATTTCTGATTCTCGCATATCCTGTTATAACCCTGTACCGATTTAAAGTCACACTGCTGAGCAGAATTATAGGACTGAAGATGCAGTTTTCCAGTTGCTTGTCCAGTGTTACAACAAGAGAACAATCAAATTTCACTTTGACCAAAGTCAGACTTGAAAGAGGAAAAGAAATCCTGAAGCATTCATTCAACTTGATGTGTCCTGGAGTGTTTAATAAGTTCATTTCAATTCAATAGAATATGTGGTCCATATTTACACCTGCAGGGTGCTTCTCAGTTACCAAGTATTTTTACAGTTCATCAGTTGTCTGATTTCCATAAACCTATATACTTAATGTTCTCAGAATGAACTCCAGTGATCAAGTGGGTAATTTTCAATAACCAAACCTACATATTCTTTCCGTATGTTAGACATTTTTCTTGTTCAATTCTGTTCAAGGGAAGCATGAAACAGAGGATATTATGTATAATTGTAAATTCTTATTTAGTATATTCTGGAAATTAACTGCAAATAATGAGATATCACCTCTGACTCTGACAACAATGCACAACCATACAAGTAGTTTTTCAGAGAGTAATTATAATATTATGCTATTATTATTGTATACCTATTAACCTATCTTTTTCATAGTGCCATTTATGAAAGATATTTTACTTTTAGGTTTACTTCCTATCTAAACAAATTAATGCAATTGTATGAAATTATTTCACCATTTCTCAGATATTCTTCAGTTTTCATTTTGTTTTCTTTTTTAAAAAATCCACCTTGGTTTCCCACTGGGTGGTTCATAGAAACATTCCTAAGTAATGAGCGCTGGTCAGAAGTGAGCTCTTAAAACAGTAAAAGAAGCAATGGGCGGGAAGCAGGAATGAGAACATTCATCAACAACACAAAGCAAAGCAAGTGCTTCTAAGGGAATCTTCCCTTGCGCTCTGCCTCTTTGGTAAGTGCTCATGGGTTTCTCCTTTACACATATTATGACTACTCTTTCTAAAAAGTGGTAGGTGTGGGGGTCCAGAACAAGTCACCCCAAGTGTGCCTCTGTGGTATGCAGATTGTTTTGAGACAAATGCAGCTTGAGCTGCAAGCTCAAGAGAAACTTCTCCCCTACCCTTTAGCTACCTAGAAGACTTTGAGTTAACTGCCTTGCCCATAAGAGATTATCAGAGATAACTTTTTTTGACTTATCTGTGTGGCAGGGTACACTCCTGTTTACTGAGGTCTGCTTTTATTATCCACCAATGACCTTTCGAAGTCCCCAAGGCAACTCACCTCATCTAGCTCAGGGTGTCTTATACACCCATGTTCCCTTTCTGTCTCTGAACCTCTCCTGCATGTGGGTTTCTGACTCTCTCATGTACTCAGTGTTACCATACATATGTATGTTTCAAATTCATTTTTTTCTCTTGCTAGTTTGTCTCTTGCCTACTTGATTACTAGACCAACTAGAAGAACATTGAGGATAAAGGAAAGCATGTTTCTCCCCACATAGGTCATTTACTGTTTACTATCATTTGGTCTCCTCATTATCCAGTTTTGTCATTAACATATCACTATGAGAATATTAAATGAGAAAGAAAAAAACACTGTACTAAACACTATTCCACACAGAGGAGTTAAGAAGAAGAAGAGTTATGAAGAAGAAGACCTCTTTCTCTCAAGTTACATGCAAGCTAGCAGGAGGGCTGTGAGGAAAACAGGTAGGTCGATACCATGAGATAATTATATATCCAGGGCAAGCACCAGATTCCGTGGACCATATGAAGTGGTGTCTAACATAGGGTTGGAAATCAAATAGGATTTGCTGAAGAGTATGATTCTTTAAGAGAAGTCTATGCCTAGACTTAAGAAATGAATGAGAGTTTGCCACATAGGTGGCTTTCCAAACAGAGGGAAACACCTTTGATCTCTAGGCAATGGGAAGAAATAGAATATGGAAGGGACAAATATTGCAAACTGGGGAGCAGCAGTAAAGGGACCAGAAGCAAAGATGGATAGAGCAAAGCTTCCATAGTTCAGGAAAGGAATTCATGCATTATCATCGGGCAATGTGGAACTGTGATGTGTTCCCACCATTTGTACATTATGGAAATGTTCGGCTGCAAATGAGATAGGTCTGTGGACAGGGACACACTCAGGAGGCCACTATGGTGGTTCAGCTTTATGGGACATTCGACTAGACAATGTCTGCACACCAGACAGCTATTGCATATGAATTTTCCTGCAGCAAAACTACTTTTCCAATATATAACTAGACCATAACTCAGGGCTGGGACTAAGGTCAGGCAAATGAAGCACATTCTTCAGACACAAAGTGTAAGGGGGCCCTGATTAGCTCAGCAAACAAGATCAATAACACGCAGAGCAGTATTTTTTAATGAATGGAAAGAAAACTCCATAATGAGCAAAATATCAAAATTTTAAATAATGACAGTAATTGAATTCTTTGGAGATGTATGGGAAAATCAATTCCTTTGCCATCATGTTTGAGAATTTCAGGCGATTCTCTCAGTGTTGCTAACCAACTCACTCACCTTGGAAGCCGAGACAGAACACCAGCTGATATCGATGTTAATGCATCATCCAAACGGCCTGGTGGCTTCCCTTTGCGAATCCAGCTGACAACCAGTTCAAGCAGCATCAGTGAAATGAAAAATGGAGTTGCCTGGAAAGGAAATTGCAGAAAAAAGCTGCTATTGTGCTTGGTATGAAATTCTCCCACATTTCCTAATTAATCATTCTAGAAGTGGGAGGTCCAGAGTGACATCTCATAGAAAGAGAAGGTAGATAACTTTCTTAGAGGATCATTTTGTGCTAACAAATAAATTTGATTACTTCAGACATATATTAAACAGGTGCTCCAATTCTATCTTCCAATTTGGAAATAAAATATAAATAGCTATGATGATAATTGCACCAAGAAAAGAAGATTAGGGAGGACATGTTACCAGTTAGATCTAAAAAATATATTTTAACATAAAATATAGTGCAATAACCACTAGTTTATTATCTACATATGACTGAGCTAGATTCACTTTAAAAGGGATTCCTTAAGGATGTACATAATTCTAGTGTTTTATATTAGCATTATTGAAATGACAAAATTAAAACTGTAGGAACAGAATATTTTTCTGATTATTTCAAAGAATAAGGTCATTTTAAGTGTTTGAAACATCATTCCAATTTTATTCATTCAGCTATAATTTTGTTTTATATAATACAGTTTTTGGGCTGCATTATTGATGACCAAATATTGGAGTAGGTTTGGTGTTACAATATAAAAAAGTAATGATTTATAAAGATGTAAATACCACATTTTTCTTAAAACATCAAAAAAGTAGGAGTAATATGAAATCCTGAAAAAAAAAGTTATGGGTTTTGCTCATTTAGAAGCTGATCATGAGTTTTAAAGTTTTCAAAACTGAACTCCCAAGAACATATTCTATGATGTCATTTTTTTTTCTATTTCTTGTCTGAACTAGTAAGTGTTATAGGAACAACTTTGACAGGGTGGGGAACTTCAGTATTCAAGTTCTAATTCTGGATATTTCCATTTCCAATCATAGCCAGGAACCAAAAGTGAAAAGTGTCTCTAAACACTTCAGAGTCAAATAAAACTTGGTTCATGTTCAAAGTTAGGAAGTCAGAATTGGACTCAGTGATCTGTATATCCATTCTGCAGGACTATGCTACCAAATTAAAGAGGAAATAGTTTCCTGGGAGGTAGTAGACAAGTTTACCCTTTAAAAACAAGATTGTTACAAAGTTTACTGATGTCAGCTAAACTCGTAATGTCACTGTGTCCAGAAAAGCTTTTAAACATTTTGTCATATTCTGGAGTGATGTATCAGGGAAAGGAGTTTGATAGGAGAAGATAGTTATGGATATCATATGGAAATTCAATTCAAGTAGAAATTCTACTTTTGTTCCGTGTCTTTATGAAATTGAATTCTTTTCATTAGGAGTTCATAATCTGAAGAATGAAAGTAAACAAAACCCCACAATGTGTTTAACTTCTTATTAAGAAAAAGCAAGAGCAGACTCTTCCCAGATAGTCTCACCTGTTTTACAAAATCGGGCACCTCTTCCAGAGTGTGGAATGACGTTTCATTGGGCTTCATCATGTAAAACATCATGCGAATTCCCTGGGAAACTGAAACATCCTGTTGGGCTTCTGGGTTCTTAATCTCAGCCCTGGTCTGATTCCCAGCTGGAGAATATTTGTGATTCATGGTTGAAGCCAGAGGCTGGACAAAGAGGACGAGATGTGCTTCACAGAACAAGCCCTTTGTCAGAGAACGGCTAGAAACAAAGCTCCAAAGAGAGCACAGCCAACAGCAGAGTCTGTGCAGAGACAGAAAAACACTGGGATCAAGAATGAGTTCAAAGTTCATTTCAGTGGGAGCTGTTCCAGAAACTAGGCATGTTGGGGAGGGAGGGGGGCAATGCTGCCCGAATCAAAGATAAATAAGGGAGTTTGGCTATAGGTGGAGTGACTTATTAAAAAAAAATACATAAGAAAAGGGAAGGAAAAAAACGTGTTAACAGGTGAAATTTCAGTCTGAAAAGGTGGGCAGGATGTCAAGACTCAAATCACCTGAAGAAAATTCATTTTTCTCCTCCCTTTTGAAATTCACATTGTGTTCAAAGGTGTCATCCCCTCTCAGAGTCCTCATTTCCTGAAAGGATGGGGTGCTCTAGTCTCATTTGACAAGACTAAGCTTGAAAAGTTTATAAGCACTGAATATATTACACTGGGATACTTCTGGATCTGCATCATGTTAGCTTTGGAGGGTTTGCAAACCAATTTGGGGGCATTTGGGTAATTCCATGGTTTACATTGTTTAACAGAACCTTGACTAGTCACATCCGATTGTTAAAATTTATGGGAAGTATCTGATTGAAAAAGCCCCCACGTTGTGGCTGCAAGACCTTACCTCTGTTTCCCACGAGAAGCTTCAATTTTTTGCTTCTTGGAGGGGGACTGGAGGGCACTTGACTGCAGCACTAGTGAGTCAGTGGAGCTTCCTCTGATAGGATGCTTCCTCAAGCATTCACCTATAATAGCTGTAATCATCCTTTGGCTACCACCTTATCTTTTCTTTAAAAAATGTTTATGTAGATTTAATTAAATTATTAATCTATTCTTGTTTTAGGAAAAACACTGGAAACCATAGATAAGCAACAAATAAATTACTATGCAGAGTAATAATCAGTTCTGCTATCATGTGACTTAGGTGCTGCTGAAGATTACTGTATTTTGCAAATTGTGCAATAAAAACCACTGGGTTTATGAAACATGGAATTAGCATATAATACTCAGAAAGTTTATAATGACCCATGAGGGAAAAAAATCAGAACCTAATAAAAGTGGCAGCGCATTTTTTACACATGTATTGTTACATGAAGAAATGTATACATACCACAATAAATATTCTGTTTTGTCTTGAAAAAGAGCTGAAGAGGGCATTGGCAGTGCTAGAGATTGTGAGTATTGCGGAGTAGTGGAGGGAGGCTTATCTGAAGTCAGATAACTTGTAAAACCGGATATGGACACCGCGGCTCCTAGCTCACACGTGAACTGCGGACACTGGCTACTGATGTTTAAGGCATTTGCATGTGTGTGCATTTGTGTATTCCTAAACCCTTCAGCTCATTGGGTGCAACCTATAACATTCACCTGCTGTGTCTCATTAACAAAATCACACGGAAGTATAGTTGACTGGCTTCAGTTTTCCCCTAGTTTATTAATCCTATTTGAAATAAACTTGCACCTTCAAAATATTGTAGAAAATATTGTAAAATTATGTGTTCATATAGTTCCTATGGCAAATAAATATATATGAACATACATATTTAATAAAAGTGATCCGATTGCACACAGTGTTTTATTACCTGCTTTAAAAATTTTTTCGAAATTACGAATGTATTGCGTTTGGGGAGAAAAATGCGAACAACCAAGCTGGGTGGAAAGTAAGAAGTAGCTGTACCCCTCCCCCTCAACACACACGTCCCTCTCGTCAACTTCATAAGAACAGCTTTTCCTAGTGGGTATCTTGCCATAACTGTTTTCCCTACAAAGATTGTTATTATCATTATCATTACTGTCGTGTGAATACCTTTTAACATACATTGTTTAATTTTTTCCCCAAAAGACCATTTAAATATAAGATATAGCAACTTTCCTTCTTGCAGTCAACAATTTATTAGGAACATTCTTCCACTCAGTTTATGGTTATATAGCATTTTTTCTTAATGGCTGCAGAGGTGTGTTTGTGTGTTCCAGAAGGAAAAAAAATCATTTTAAGTAGCGGAACTTGAACACAAAGGATTAATTACAGAGATGGTGGAAGAGGTAGAAAGCCAAGTGGGAACAAAGAGGCAATCTAGAGATTAATATCAATAGGAAGCCACTTGCATCCTTAAGCTATAGGGACAAAAGGAGAGGGCTGTGTGGGTAGAGCTCCGGGGCTGGTCACCAAGAGAAAGTGAGAACCACAAGGGGCCTGTCCGGCAGCAGCAGGGAGGGAATGGAAAAAACTGCTGTGGCTTCTCCCTGCCGGCCAGTCTCCCAGCAGTTCTTCTCATTGGCCTACAGGAGTCAAAGCTGGGTGAGAGAGGAGCCAAGGAAAAGAAGTCTGAGGGGCCATTACTTGGAGAGACACAGCAAGGGCGGACAAACCAGAGAAGGTATCTGAGGGAAAAGTCAACGCGGGACCATTGCACCATCATAATTTACGTAACCATGTCTCCATTGTTGTGCAATTAAGTGTACTCTTGCAGTTTTAGTTAATAAACTGAGTGGATCAATGAACACCATGGCGTAAATGTCTTGTGCTGTTTGTGCACATTTTTGCATTAAATAGATTCCTAGCAGTGGAATTGTGTTCTCGAAGGGTATGTAAAATCTATGCTTTAATAGTTCCTGCCAAATCCACCTTTAAAATTGTCTTTCGCTCTTGCTAACATTGGCTACTATCGATTTTTTACAGTTTTTAGCCAATTGATTGGTTCCCAATGTCATCCTGTTTTCATTTGCATTTCCCTAATGACTTTGGTAATCATTTCATTACCTTTGTTAGCCCTTTTTTTTCTTTCCGTGTGATTTTTTAAATATATCTTGCACATGATTTCATTATCTTCTCTTTCTATATTGATTTGTAAGCTAATTGAATTCTGTACCTTATGTATTTCTCTCATGCATGTGGCAAGTTCTCTCAGTCTGTATTTTCTTTTAATTGTGTCTTATGCATGTTGTCATACAACAATTATAACTTCATGTGTATTGTTATCTTTTATATTATTACTTCTGTTTTTGGGCCTTGCTCATAAGTGTTATCCTCATTACAACTCTATAAAAATAATCTTATGTATTCTCTTCCAGAATGTTTATAGGATTTCTTAGTTGTCGTTCTTTTGGTCATCTGGCGTTTATGTGTCATGTGTATGGTGTGAAGTCACTATTTCATGTTATGCCTTCCCTATTGGAAAGTCTGGAAGCCACATGATAAATGAAAAGCCTCCAAGTGGAGATGTGTCAGTCTCAGAATCATTTCTTGAGGAGAGCTACTCATCTATCAGGACATTAAGTAAAATTTAAGCTTCTAATGAGTTCTGTGTTTCAGTTGTTATTTAAAGCCACTTGTGCCCTAACTAATGCAGACAAAAAAGCATTGGAGGGCTTTGAACAGAAGAGTCCCTAATCTTACACAGGTATTAAAACCATCAGTCTGGTTTCTGTGTGTGTGAAGAACAGACTTTAGGGAGAAAGGAAAGCAGAAACTATTCAGAAATGACTGATAGAGTCCAGGCCCTACATGTCGGTGACTTTTACAAGTGGAAAGATTCTGGATACATTTGGATGGTAAAAATGACAAGGTTTACTAACAGAACGGCTGAGAGAACAGGCATAGTTTAAAAGTTTGGTTTAGGCAGATGAAAGAATGGAGTTATTTACTATAATGAACAAACTGGGGTATTTGGCTTTAAACATCATATGAGATGCCTGTAGACATCTAAGAGGTGAGGGTTCCAGCAGTTGGATCTATAAATCTGGAGTTCAAAGCTCAAAACAGGAGAATTAGCTATGGAAAGATGGAAAACTCACTGACGAGAACAGCTACAATCCAAACATGAGGCTGAATTCCATGTACAGACTCTTCAACCGTGTTCACAAGCTTAAACAACACTCATTTTTAATTTAAAATTGTATCTATTATGTTTATTTTTCTGTATGGTAATTTTTTGTAATTGAATTATATAAACAACATATTACAGTTTGAACATTACTATGACTAAACTTATTATAGAAGTAATGAAAGTGTGTGTCCTGCACAAGGTCATAAACTAAGGGGAGGGTGGTAATGGGAGGGAAGTGGGGAGGGGTGGGAGGGGGGGCTGGATTGGGTGTAAAAAGGAGAAAACTGTATTTGAACAATGATTAAAATAAAATTAAAAAAAAGAAAGTATGTGTCCTGTTTCTATTTTAATGTATAGTCCAGTAAGCACGTTTTAATATTAAGAAACTGCCCGATTGTTCTCCGGTGTATGTACCATTTAGTATTCCCACCAGCATGAGAGTTACGGGTGCTCTGTGTGAATTCCAGCACTTGGTGGATCCAGGCTTGTTTTTATTTTCATTATATATTTTCAGATATAAATAACTGTATCATTTGTGAAGGATACGGTCGTCACGATATGAAGTTCATTATTTCCTTTCCTATCTACTTTGAGGGCAATTTTAAAAAGAATATAGTTCCGTGTTGCCAAAAATTTAATACTGTCCCTGACTCTTTGAATCCTGGGTATTAATACTTTTCATTAGGAAATGGCACCAAGTGAAACTTCAATCAATCTCTCTATTTTCTTAGATCAGATTTTATTACTCTTGGCCAAAGTCCTTTCCCCGAGTTAGAAGGCAAAGATCAGGTAGAACATGATCTTTAAAGAAATTTATGGCATGCATTGGAGTTCAGAGAATAAAAAACAAATACTATTTCAGAAATTATTTCTTTAAAATACTATCGAGCTAATACGTCTCATTGTTATTTCAGGAGTGGTCGGTGCCAGAAGAGCAACTCAAGGTGCTGCACACGTATCCACTTCAGAACACATGTAACTTGCTCTTTGTAGGATTGATTTTGAGTCGAAGTTGGAATGAATCCAAATGCACAGTGCAGAGCAAAAGAATTTGGAAGATCTCAAGAGTATTTTTTTGAAATAACTCATGAGATATTCAGCAAAGAAAAGGTTTTCTTTTGAATAATATATCTGGAAAACACAAAATAACATACACAGCTCTTACAGAGTCATCGATCATAGAATAAATATTTTAAAGGTTCTGACAAGCCCAGCGGTGAGTAAATTTAATTTGCCCAACTTGCAGTTTATCGATTGTAATTTAATAAAGAATTACTATTAATCTAACACTTGTGAACACCTCTGAGAGTGGGTATTATACAGTGATTGCTGTCTAAATTAGGGCCGTTTCTCTCTTTGGAAAAGAAAGGACACCTACCTTCGGTAATGGTAATTAATGACCACGATCTGAGGGAAAATCACCATAAAAGACTTGCATGTGCTAGAAAACATGTAAAAGGCAAGACTAGTGTTCTACTCTCCATACAAAAGAGTGTTTCTAATCACACCAGCAGATCAGACAAAGTCCTTCACCTCAATATTCATCACAGAACCTGCTGCCTGCTGCTGAAAGGACCTGTGAACCTTCTTTTATGAAACAGAGTTGAAGCAATTCATCGTAGACATAAATCCAGTTCTTATCATTCTCCCGGACATGTGGTTAGGAATTTCTCTCTAGTTTCAGTACCAAGAATAATATGTTTCTCCTGAATAGCATTTGTGTTATTTAATTTTATGGATGCTATAAATCACCTACCTAATCATGTTTCCCACTTCAGATGGTTTAATGTGTAGCTTAGTGCCAAATTTATGGCATAAATCTGGCAAGTGTATAGGATTCAAGGGGTGACATATTAAACTCACCCTTGGATTCCCATTGATTCCTGCTGATATATTTCTTGCTTAATTTTTATCACCTATTCCACTCTGTTTTGTTATAAAGCTTTATTGAGTGCATTGGTATAAGATGTGTTAATTTCCTGTTACCATATGGCAAATAATTTTTTATGTTGATATATTATTTAATTAGTAAAAAGAGCAATCCTCTACTTAGTGTCTCATTTTGATGGGCATTTCTCAACAGTCACCTACCATAGCATTAGAAACAAACAATCAACCAGTTGCTTCACCAGAGAGATAGATGGATTGGCAATGAACAGGGACTCATTCTGATCCCAAAACACTTGATGGGGAAAAGAGCCAACTCCATCTGTCACAGTATCTATCCATTATGCATGGGATGCCTCACTCCAGTGGATTCAGAAATATATTATTGAGACAGATATAAAAAGACATGTTCAAAAATAATTCAGAAATGAATTATCTGTGCCAGAAATAACCCTAAAGCAGGACCTCATCAAGAAGTCAGAGGGGCCCTGAGCCAAAGATGAGGTCCTGGAGATGTTTGGCAAAATGACTTCACTATGATGCCCCAAATAATGGGAAATTATCAATATAAACTGTCGATATCAATGTCAATATTGATCTCATCATTGCTGATTCCTGTCCGCCTCCTCACATCACCGCCATCAAAGCTGTGTACCTTCCCTACACCTTTGCCTCTGTGAATGATGCCACTGTTTAGAGTACAGTCAGGTACCACTTAATGACAAGGATACCTTCTGAGAAATGAGTCCTTAGGTGAATTGTCATTTTCTGAGCACCATTGAGTGTACTTACATAAACCTAGCATAACCACATAGAAATTCATTTCTTTAACAGGACCTTTCCCTTCTTTCCTTTTGATTCAAACTGGTCTCATCCAGCACTTTGACTCACCTTCCTCCTTCTCCCTTGGGTGTTTACTCCCGTAATCATTAAGTCTTCAAAACAATGAGATTCTAATCAGTATCAGATAATCTCAGACACAAAGCCTTGGGTCTGTTGACCCCAGAAACAGAGTTTCTGTCAAACTAGAGATAACATCTTGACCTCAGTCCTGTTTCAGCTCCAGACCCAGAAAAGCAGTGAAACCAGACAAGTGATGTCATGGCTGACCTGAGGACCAAGTGCACTAATAGGCTACCCCCACTCCTAGTGCCAACCATTCAGTGGAAACCACAACCCTAGCACCCACCAATCAGTAAAGACCATGATCCTGACTACATCCTTAATTTCCTTAGTCACCATGATTAATGGTTTTTCCTCTATTTAACCATCCCCTGGAAGCTGGGTCTTTGAGCATTAGCTCATTTATTTCTGGGTGTGGGCCACTTCCAGAAAATAAACCCTTACTTTGCTACATACTCTTGTTTATGTCTTATTGGCCTTTGATGGGCACAGACAAATGGCCCCCTTTACTCCATAACACTTAGATGGCAGAGCCTGCTACTTGCCTAGGCTATGTGGTATAGCCTGTTACCCCTAGGCTGCACACCTATAAGCATATTATAGTAGGCAAATGTAACCCAATGACATTTGTGCATGTAAACATAGAAAAAGTGCATTAAAAATATGCTATAAAAGAGTTAAAAATTGTACACCTGTATAACATACTTACAATAAATGAGGCTCACAAGACTGGAATGTGCTCTAGCTGAGTCAGTCAGTGAGAGGTGAATGAATGTGAAGGCCTTCAGCATTACTGTACACCACTGTAGACTTTATGACTTTATAAACACTGTACTCCAGCATCGCCATAAACATGAGTAATACATTGCACTTGGTCTTTACTACAGCTACAATGCCATTGAGTGATGGGAAATTTTCAGCTCCATAATAGTCTTTGGAATCAGTGCTCTGGACCATAATGCAATTATGCAGCCCATTACCATGCAGGTGTTTCTGCTCTAGAATTTGGATTCATCCTGAGTCCTCTCACTCTCACAGCCATCCAGTCTCCAAGTCTTGTCTATTCCACCCCTGGTATTGGCCAGGAAGATGTCCGTTTCCAACCCGGGTTTTGTATGTCAGAACCAGGGTGAGGAACATGTTCGCAGCACAAAAATTTTAAGGATTTTTCAACTTTACAGATCTTATCATATGATGATACAATTTGCAACATCCATGCTTATCTCTAGGACTGCACAGTGCCCTACTGTGAGTATTCATGGCTTGAGTAGCAAACTAGGAGCCTTGACCATGCCTTCATTAGGGCGGAGGCCTCTAAACCCAGAGAGAAGCCAAAGCCAAGAGAGCACAGCTGGCAGGTGCAACTCCTTATTAGTTCCCACCTGGAGCTTGGTCTCCTCCAACTACACAGCAATGCTGGGATTTTTCTTTTTTTATATCCATTAATACATGATCTGCACTAGACTTTTCTAGTCTCCTACCTTTCTTTGATATTCTTTTAAGATAAAAAATGTTTGGTAGCTTTGTATAAGCTTTTAGTCAACTTAAATAATTTTTGTTAAGTTTATTTGTAATAATCTTTGAAAAAATTATAAATATTTCTTAGAAGTTCTCTTTCTCAGAAAGCATACTTAGCATTTCATGGACTTTATACTTTACCTCCGAAACACTGAATATTTTTGAGTCTTCAAATACATGAACATGTGGTGTCTTTGTGATAATTCAACATATCTGGAGGTAAATGAGTCAATGGCTGCACTCCTTCTGCGTGGACAGTGCGATTGCCCACCGTGCTAAAATTTTAAATGACATTCTGAGTCATGATACAATACTTATTCCTGCTGAATACGCATATCATTTGGAGTTTCTATACTAGTTAATATCAAAAGAAAAACACAGATATTCTTTAGAAAAAGAATCTCTTCATATTAAAGAAAGCAATACTGTGTCCAATGGCAAGTTCATGGCCAACTGATTTTCAGTATTTTCCTTCACTCATTCAGGAACTTTTTTAGCTATGTATTTTATAGACTATTTAAACTATTATTTATATTTAAATTATTTTAGCACATATTTAACATTTAGTATTTCATTTTTGTTATTTTTAATTAATATCTATACATAGAAAGTAATACTGAGTATTTATTAATATGATATAAATCTTCTTTAAACAATTTTACTATTTTAATGAATTAAAAATATATTTAATAAATAATTGGTTTGACAAAATTTTCAAAGTTATCACATGACTAAAGTTGGACTCATAATTTATATCATTTAATCTTTGTCTTATGAAGTATGTAGTGTTTCATTTTACAAATGTGAGACCAGTAGTCCAAAAAAGTACCTCCACTATTCAAGGTCAATATATTTATACCTTTCATAACCTTTTCTCTAAGTGATAATGTTAATGAACTGAACACTATTATTAACATAAAAACGTAATGTACATAAAATGATCATTTTATGTCAAAAGAAGATGTCTCGTGTTGGCATGAGCAGAGGCCTCACTGCTTCACAGTGGCCGCCGAATCTCAGCCTCCCTCTCATGGGCCCATCCACACTTTGGTGAGCACGCCGGTTTCTCAGTACAAAGTCTCCCTTCCCTGAGTGACCCAATTTGAAGATAAATAGGCCCAAGGCAAATACAATATTTTCTGACCATTGCTATACACTAAATGTGACAAAGATACAAAGTACCTTCAAGGGCCCTGCCGTTCTGTTAATGGCAATTATGTGAGCCCATCCTTTCCCACTTACTAACTTTAAAATGTTTTATGTGAAATACATTTTTACATTTGATTTAACAGGAATTAGTAAAATATCTAAAAGACAATGATGTCCATCAAACGTGAGTGGGAGCAGAAACTTATTCCCCTTCGAAAGCAGGCAACATTCTCACCTCTCCAAGCGATTTCCGACCCATTCACACTTCGAAACAGAGAGTCCTCAGATGCTTCCTGTTTGAGTCTCTGAGCACTGGGTCTAAACTCAAGACAGCTCTTACCGTGCAGGTTGGAGAGAGGTGGGACAGAAAGAGCAACAAGAAATAAGCAGCCACTTACTGGATTTCAAGTGCGATTGAGAACTGGGCAGAAGCAATTTGCTTCTATTATTTAACATTATCTCAAAATAGTAAAACAAGTTAACAAAAAAGAGGACATCCTTGAAAAGGTGACTCTCATATTGTTTGTCCATTTGCAGACTGTATCAAAATTGGCAGTGGTCTATTTTTAGGGATTTATGTGACATTTATTACTAATCTGGTTACCAAGTATAGCACAGACTCTTGGTACACCAAACCAAAAGCTGCATTTTGGCTAGCACCAGCTGCGGCTTCTCTCTTACTACCATGTAAACATGTATGTGTTTATTTATTACACTTCAAATAAAAAAGAAACACATGGCACCGTCATATCTGAAAGAAAATGGAATATATTTGGGTTAGGCTGTCATGATTGAGCCAGGTTGCTCAGTAGACCTTCAAAGGCAATGCTAAATCAAGGCCTAGCTTATTCTCCTTAACCTGCTACATGATAAAATTCAGGCAGTCAGATTCGTGTCGGTTGTAGAATGTTAAATATAATAGCTACCATTACCTGCACCTCAACCTCCTACAAGTTTCTTTATGAGGAAACTGGGTACTCGAATCCATAGCATGCCATGCACATGGCAGGAGTGCAGCCTAGGAAAGTCACTGCGAAAACATCAGCCTGTGGGGCAGGGAAGGAACCGACAGTGTCATCATTATTCTGCAAGATCACTCGAGGGTCAGACAGAAAGTCCTCTCCTTCAAATCCTTCGAATCAAATAAAAGTAGGCTAACAGGAAACACCCGCAACAGTGAATCTGGGAGTGAGCAGGCTGAGTCTCAGTGCCGCCCTGGGACTCAGGGTGGGTCCCCAGGCCCTGGCTTGACCAGGTGTGCCTTTCAATCCAGGTACTCGCTCTAGTATAACTCCAAAAACGTTGCTTAATATGTTTGATGCTTTGCTTCTTAATTAAAATAATTTTATCTTTTCTCTATTTCTTAACTAAAATAATTTTATCTTTCAGTGATATTTATTTTTCTCAATACTGTTTAGTGAGACTCTCCCACTTGCCCGGCACCTTACCAAGAGGTGAGGAAAGGTGACTGCGGTGGTCTCTCTACAACTTTATAATAAATTATATTTACAGACTGTGTAGCATATAATACATAAACATACTTAAAGTATAAATAATTTATATAATGAATATATAATATGTAAAATAATACATTATTTAATATATCATATATCTTCTATATAATTATTTATATAATTATTTATCCAATGACTGCTTTTATTGGGAAAAAAGTCACCACAGAAAACATAATGTTGCAAAGCATCATTCTTGCTCTTTACTTCAGTTCTACTTCCTAGAAACAGAATTCTACTGTTTACATTTTTAATTCTGTTACAAATTATTTTGAAGACTATTGCACTCTCACCTCGGTTCACCGGTTACCAAAGCTAATTACTGATCACCAAACTCTAAACTGAAGATGTAGCTCACTCCTGCCGTCACCCTCCTCTGCGTCTTCTCCTTTAAAAGTTGGTGTTGGTGGTATTGCTTAAATGGTAACAATTGTAACCTATTACAATTGTAACTTTGAATAAATTTTTAAACCTCTGTTCCTTGTTCCCGAACTTTCAGTGGTATCTCTTGCCTCCTATTTTTAGCAGTCTTGTTCTTTCTCTGCACCTTTTTCCTGCCAGTTTCCACTGCCACCTCCCATCCTTGGTGGGCTCTTCTTTCACATGGCCCGTGTGAATACGTGAATCTGTTTTGCAATCCCCACCAAGTCATGCATGACTTGTCCACTCTAAAGGCTGGAAATAAATAAACTCTATCTGAGTTACATGACTACATAAATATTGTGCACTCCTGTCCAAACAATATGTAAGGATTATATTTCTTTTTTTGTATGTTCCAATGTCAAGAACCCTGGACTATGCAAGGAAAATGTTACTGGTATTTTTGCTTAAGACACTCACTCAACTGTTTAAAATCATGCCTCATTTTAGTTTACATCATATTTGGAACATAATTTACTTGTTTAGTTTATTTCACAGGTTATTTTTAATTGCTTTTTTGTGTTGTTTCTTGTACTATTTGCCTTTACAATACCTCAAAAAAATTTTGTCTTCTAAACACATTATTTCCAGTGACTCTCAAAGTGTAGTCTACAAAACTCTGTGGTTCCCCAAGACTCTTTTGGGGACTAAAAGGTTCAAACTATTTTCATAATGGCACTGAGACATGACTTGTCTTTTTCACTGCGTGTGAACGCAGCGATGGGTAAAGCTGCTGGCAGCCAACTGCAGGAGGAATCGGCGTGCCCTTCACTACTGCACATGGGCAGCGTGCAACAGAAAGGAAGACAAGAGTTGCTTTTTAGAATGTCCTTGCTGAAACAGTTAAAAATGTTCATTTTATCACCTCTCCATCTTTGGGTGCATATCTTTGTAATCAGAGACAAAATAGGAAGAGCTCCTACAGCAGACTCTTAGTGTATATTCAGTTACAATGGAAATCTCAAGTAAAGACACTTTTATGACTGAGTTGTGAGCTTGACTATCCACTTTTTTCCCCTACAGAAACCATTTTGACATCACAAAACAATAGACAAACTATGGTTCTTCATACTTTAGTATTTAGAAATATATTTCCAGACATTGAACTAAGTCAGGCCTTCAATTCAACAAGATGAAAAATACCACCTCGGAACATTTTTGAGGCCATAATTCAGTGACAGATACTTTCTAAATGGCCAGTGCCTATTGATACAAAAGTTGTCCATGGATAACGATTTTTTCAAGATGCAACATAGACCAAACTATTTTTACACAACTTTACTGAGGTTTAACCAACATACAACGGGCTGTGTATTTTTTAATTACACTGTTCATTTATCTACGTACACACCCATGGACCCATTGCCACAATGGAGATGGTGAACATGTCTGCCATGCCCCAGATTTCCTCGTGGTCTTTGTGATCTATGCCTCTCCTGCCCCCACGTGCGGCCCTCCCCAGGCCACCACCGCTCTTGTCTGTCACCGCAGATTAGTTCACGTCTTCCAAAGTGTGCTCCCAGAGGAATAATAGAGCATGAACAACACTCTTTTTCTTCTGGTTTCTTTCACTTAGCATTTGTGAGTCATCCAACTTGCTGTGGGTATCAAGTTTACTCATTTTTGCTGTTGAATAATATCCATCATATGGATATACCACCATTTGTTTATTTATTCATCTGTTGATGAACTGTGAGTTGTTTCCAGTCTTTTCCTCTAACTAATAAAGCTGCTGTGAACATTGGTGAGTACATCTTTGCATGGCATGTCCTTTCATGTCTCTTGGGGAAATACCTTGGCGTGAAACAGCTGGATTATGTGGTAAGTGTATGTTTAACTTTTTAAAAAACTGCTAAACTGTTTTCCATAGCAGTCCTACTACTTCACAGTTCTACCAGCAGCCTATGAGAGTTCCAGGGCCTATCCTTTGAAATACTTGGTGTAGTCAGTCTTTTTAACTTTAGCCTTTAATATGCCTATGAAGTGATCTCACATTATGGTCTTATTTCACATTTTCCTAGTGAATATTGAATATCTTTTCATGTGCTTATTTGTCTTCGATATAGCATCTTCTGCCCATCTTTCTATTTTTTTAGTTGTTGATTTTTTTATTGTGCTTTAAGAGTTCTTCGCATATTTTAATATGAATCCATATATACACATATATATTTTAAAAATATATATATAATGATTTATTTTCTTCTAGTCTTTGTCTTATCTTTACATTCTCTTAACAGGGGCTTTGGAAGCATAAAGGTGTTTTATTTGATGAAGTCCAACTTACCAACTTTTTATTTTGTTTTTTTGGTGTTATACCAAAAATCCCTTTGTCCAACATAGGTAGACAAATATTTTCTTTTATATTTTACAAGTGCAAGGTGTGTATCAAAGTCCATAACTTTTTTGTATTTGGATAACCAATTGCTCCATTACTATAATACGAAAAAGGCTGTATTTTCTCCACTAACATGATTTGCTTCTTTGTTGAAAACCAGCAGTACACACACACACACACACACACACACACACACACACATATATTTTTTATAGCCTATATTCTGTTCCATTAATGCATTTTTCTATCTTTACATGGGTACATTTTCATCATCATTGTAGCTTTAGAGTAACTACTAAAATTAGGTATTATTAGTTGTCAACCTTTGTTACTCTATTCAAACTTATTTTGCATATTCCAAATAATTTTAAATTTAATATGAATATCAGAATATGTATGTCATTTTTGCCAAATAAGAAAACCTGATAGGATTTTAATTGACATTACATGGAATCCAAAGATCAATTTAGATAGGATTAACATTTTAACAACCTTGAGCTTTCTTTGTATGATCGTTGCATAAATTTTGTAATAGTTATCCCTAGTGTATAATTTTTAATGCTGTTGTAAATGATATTTATTTTTTATTTTTTAATTTTTTGTTACTTGTTAATATATAAAAATAAAATTAATGTTATATTTTACATCCCACTACCTTGCTAACCTCACTAGTGAGATCTAGTAAGTATTTTGGACATCTGGGTATTACACACCCAGATGTCATCTGAGAATAGAGATAAATTTTTATATATTATATTTTTGTTTTTAGTTTGCACTATTTTCTAATTTGCTTTATAATTTGTTCTTTGATACATGGTTATTGCTGGTGTTATTTATTTTCCAAATATGAGTGCATTCTAGAGATTTTTTCATTATTGATTTTTGCATTAATTGCATAGTATTTAAAGGATATATTTTGTAAGGCAAATATTTTTAATTTATTTAAGCTCATTCTATGGCCCAGGAGGTAGTCTAACATCTTGCT